AAAAGCCTCAAACTGCCAAGAATGCCCACAACAGATGTCTGTACCTACAGACTTCTGAAAAATGAATTTGCCAAGTCTATGAAACCTCCTCCTATAAAACTATATAATATTTTACGGGAAAAAAAAACTGCACAAATAAATGAATGTTCACATTTTATTTGTATTTAGCCTTCATACAAACAAAAAAATTTGAAATCACTGTCAAATAAATGTAAAAGACTCTCATGCTCCCCTTAATAATATTAATATATTTAACTTTATACTATAACATAGGCTGATTATTCTTATAGATTGAAACAAAAGTGCTTCAGCCAGGATAAAGAATATAAAGAGTGCTCAGTTGCTGCAAAAACAAAAAAAATGTTTCGCGGCCAGCAGGAGGCGCTTCTGGAGCAGTAGTAACAGTGGTTTCCCTGGTAATGGCTGTACACAAAGCAGCGCTGCTCTCATGAATGCTGCTTTATCAAATAAAATGAAAATGCCATCGAAACTTTTATGAAGACAGTTGGTTCCCTTCAAAGACATTCATATAAAACACCTGTGCTGCGTTTTGGTTTTGAAACATGCAGTGCTCATGTTTATTCAATGAAGTCAAACCCCACAAATAAATCAATGTATGGGAAACACTGGTAATGTGTATCGAAATATCGGAAATGTGTTTAAAAATCATTTCACCGGTATTGAAAAAATATATATATTGCTATTAAATTATTGTCCAGCACTAGCCACACTGCAACGAACGATCTAGTCCAGCCTATGCCTGACTGGAGCAGTGTGTTTTTCTTTGGGGGCTGTTATGTCGTTTTGGCTGCCCTGTTGAGCACAGTGGCACTGAGAACATTATATTTCACACACTTTATTTTATTTTCCAAATGTAATAGGATTAGTCCAACGAATCATTGATTATCTGTCCAGCTAAACAGAAAATAACCCTGTTGCAGAACTGTGGCAGCTAATGATAATTTCACTTCAAAGTCAGGCAGCAAAGACAAATCTAATGGTGTCAATTTCAACAGCTTCACTTCACTGCATTTTTCTAGAAAATCACTCACTTTAGAGGCACCAGATTCAGATTTCTTCTGTCTGCGCCGACTGAACTGTCTGCGGGGTTTCCGGGGCTGCCCCTCAGTCTGCTCCCTATTGGTCTGGCTCTCTTTAGGGGGGGACTCTTGCTCTTCTGCAGGGACTACTGTCTGTTGAGCCTCTCCAGGGAGTGGGTGAGGATGTAATGGCCTGGACGTTCAAGAAGAGAGACTTTCAGGTTTACATAAAACACAATAAATACGTACAGGGTACATGCATGTTTAAGGTAATGAAATGAGACAATGCAAATTTTAAAACAAATTATTAATAATTATAATTAGTGATTAGAGCTGATAAATCAAGCATTATAAATATAATTTTATTTAAAACTATGTATTATTTATAACTTTTTCCAGCCTTAAATACGCTTTTCAAAATTGAGGGCATCTCAACATTTGTCCCTACTCCTTATTTCCAGTTTCCCTTTCAACTTAACACCACTGTGTGAACTTGATTCAAGACAACAACAACAAAAAAACAAAAACTCCAAATATACAAGTGATGATATGAATCTTCGAAATCGAGGTCTGAACCTGCGTGGTGGCGGCCTCTGCTGGGCACCATCTACTTCCTCGTTCTTCTCTCCAGCTTCTCCCTAAAGCAGAGACAAGAAAACTGCTCACTGATCGGCTGTGTGCACTAAAACAATTAGCTGTTTAAAGGCTTATCATACTCAATATTTAAAGTTCACATTGAACACACACGGATTACGTTTACATGGACATCAGTAATCTAATTATTTAACTTATTCTAAATAAGCCAATATTATGATTATGGTGTTTACATTACTTTAATATTCTTTTCATGTTCCCGTTTTACATGTTATAGTACATAGTTCGATTAATGGCACACGTCATTACGTCCCCACGTGACGCCATCCAACGTCCCCTCCAGAATTTCACGTATAAACATATAGTTCGTCTTCGTCATGATGCCATGTACAGTTTAGGGTGTTTCATTTTTAATTTTATGAAAGCTTCAAGTGCAGTTAATTATTTGTACGTGCACACAGACGATGGCAGTGTGGAAGCTCTTTTATTTGCCGTCAAACAGTTGACCACTGCCGTGTGTGTATCCTGTTGCAAAATTCGGCGAAAAGTCCTACACGACGGTAATAATGTGATTAAGGTGTTTCCATGACTTTACTGCACTTCAATAATGCGACTAAAATAGGAATACTCCACATGTCTTAATACGATTAGTGTTTACTTCGATTGTGACTTTAGCCGGATTAAGGTAATCAAAAATCTCTGTTTACATAGTAGATTCTTAATCAGAGTATTGTCTTAATCGTATTAAAATCTGAGTATTGTTGTCCATGTAAACGTACTCAATGTAACTCATGTACTCTGTGAAATGTCACCAGGGCCTACAAGATTCTCAATTTACTAACAATGTTTCAAAAATACTTCTATTAATCTAAGGCATACTAGACCTTTGGTTAAAAAGCATTTAAATGACCTCACCTCGCCTTGTGGCTGAAAAGGTCTTCTGCGTGGGCGCTGGCGCCGAGGATGTGGCCGAGGGGCTCCTTTCTCTTCACTGCCCTCTCCCTCAGATATGGGCCCTGCTGGAGCCCCCCCAGATTTCTCCTCTCCTTCAGCAGGTTGTGCATTATGGGGGTAAAAGCGCCTATGGAATCTTCGTTTATTGGGGGCGTATCGACTGCCTTTGACAGGTATACCCCCTGGACCAGTCACATTTGCTGCCTCTGAGCCCTGAAATAAAGGCTCAGTTTTAGAGGATAAGTTATTAAACTCACAATATTCCTCAACAATCTTTTGATACATCCAGATACCACATACTTTAGCTGCTTCGACAACATCAAACTCCAAAACCTCACCGTCCCCCACACTTCTGAGGAACTTTCTTGGGTTATTCTTTTTTATTGCAGTCTGCACAAAGGGAAAAGGCAAAACATTAGTATAACAAATTTTCAACAATGCTGGGTGGGTTAAACTGCAATTCAAAGTAAAAATTCTTAGAAACAATTGAACTTTAAGATAAATGTAAAGGTGATCTCAATAGGTTTTACTTTTTGTAATGTCATTTAAACTTACTAGGGAAGAATGTCATGTATATACACTGCATTTACCATGTGTCAAACATTTGTTCAAGATGACACTAGTGGCATTACTCCATAACCTTTAATTTAGAGAGTTTCTATTTTAAAATGAATTAAAAGTCTAAATTAAATGTTGCTGTGTTTATAAAGTCATTACCTGATGAACAAATACATCTTCTTTAGTATCATTTCTGTGAAACAAAAAGCATTCAATTACATTTTTAAATTTCAATTAATATTTTAACCAATATTTATTCTGAGAACAGATAAAACCAATTATTTAAATGCTTGATTAGCAATACGATCACACACAAAGAGAGGTCCAGAAGCCTGAGATCACTTTGAACATCTGGGCTTTCTCTTCTTTGAAACATGGAAATAAGGTTTTAGAATTTTAAATTTCAGACAGTGTTTTAGGTCACTGATCAAATTTGTTACATTGTAATGAAAATGGCTGTTTTAAATTAGGGGGGGAAAACACTAGTGGTCTCAGACGTTTGGACCCCACAGTATCCATCAGACTGTGCATAGTTAGTCAGGTGAGGAGTCCTTTACTTATTATAAACATACCTATTGATGAAGCCATATCCATTGCGCACATTGAACCATTTCACAGTTCCCTGCACACCTGTCGCTGTAATAGATAATAAAAATAGTATATTACCATCTAGTGAGAAGATCTGACAGGATTCGTATGCTCAGGCAAAGCCCAAGGAACCGACTCATTTGAACACTGTGGGCCATATGTGTGAATCAACTACAAACTGAGACCCTTCAACCACTTTGGCCACAACTTTATTCAAGTCATAAAGGTAGTCTAAAATTCACACGTTTTTGGCCCGATAGGAAGAGTTTTCTTATTACTATGCGATCCAACGGGTAAATATGGGCAATTACATATGGCTGATAATGTAAAGCTTTTACCTAACGAAATGTATCACACCTGCAGTTAAATCCCTCCAACATAAAGCACATGGTGACAGCGCGCAGAAATGTGGGCCATCAACGAAGTCTCACTGTGTAAACAGCCAAACGCTGGCCTGCTTCTAATATGAACAACTTAAGATCCTACCAGGCATGTTCCTTTCATTTCTCTTTATGCTGTAATTACAGAAACAGCATATTAAATCCCAACAAGAGACAATCAGACTGCCCAGTGAGAAGTTACTAAATGGTAAAATAAGTTCCAAATAGAATGAGGGTAAACATGTGGTTTCTAAAAAGCATTAATCTACATCTTTATCGATACTATCCATACAAAGTCGCACGTGGAAGTAGTGAATTAAACTTTATTTCAGTCCGCCACAAAAATGAAACCATTAAGACGATACTGTCGAAAGGTAAAGCAAAACAAAAAGATCAGAAAAAAACACCCGCTGATAAATGCAAAAGGCAATTTTGTCAGTAAAGTCTGTCAGTCGCGTTTCACCCCTTATACATGACGTGTTCATTACTATGATCTGCAATGTGTCTTAAATAAACGTATTATTGTCGCTAAAGTCACTGAACCCCTACCGATAACTTTTCTCTCGGGCTGAGGTTGCTCAGATGCCTCTGTGTCGCTCATCTTCTCTCTGGATTTAACCCTTTCCCTCCGACTCGCCAAACTTTAACTTGTGTGTCCACCTCAAACATTTTATCCCGATTCCCTTTCAGGAAGGATAGCCTCGATTTAATTGGTGTTCAAACGACCAATCCGTGAGTTCCAACTTCATTCTCGCGTGATCAATTGGGAGTCATTGCAATGTCTCGTGAGAAAACCAACAACTTCTTTACAGTTAATTACTTTTGAAAGAAATTTGATAAGTTGCTAAGTTGTTTTCTATATGGTTATGTTATTCATTGTAATGTCATAATCCCACTTTATCAATCTATCTATCTATCTATCTGTCTGTCTGTCTGTCTGTCTGTCTGTCTGCCTGTCTCTAGTAGATATTTATAGGCTAGATGCATTTCGTAACAGACGGGTGCACTTGTTTCTCTGTAGAGGATATCAGGTGGTGCGGTCAAACAGAAAATAAGTAAGCCTGGTGATTTAAAGGGGTCATATATATAGATTTCAATTTGTCCTTTCTCTTTGGAGTGTTACAAGCTCTTGGTGCATAAAGAAGATCTGTAAAGTTGCAAAGACTAAAGTCTCAAATCCAAAGAGATATTCTTTATAAAAGTTAACCATATCTTATTCCTCGCACAAGCCCTTCTGCACATAGGTCACCAGATTCAAATTTCACTTGACTATATTTAACCAAGCGACTAGAAAAGTCTAAGTCTAAGTGCTATGCATTTGGTCATATTCTTCCAATAATTCATGCATAATGCTATGAATAATCACAGTGTCTGTCTGAGCCAACAAGAGCTGTTTTCATGACGAACGAGAGCAATCCCAAATGTCACATGCAGACATAGATATTTAAACTATTTAGTAAACAAAATATATGTAAATATAATATATTAGTGTCTGTCTTTTTTATTTTATTTTTTTAAATTTAGAGTCGCGTTACAAAAGAAGTTCCAGCTAGACACGAAGCGCACTTTGCACGTCGATAGTGTTTTTGCCAGATCGCAAAAGAGAAACAAACATCCTGATCCTACCTCTCACTCACTAGGTACAGGCAAAATAATAAGTGCATAATAATAAATAATAAGAAATTATGCCGATTATGTAGAATGTGACTTGGAGAGCAAATTTAACTACAGAGAGACGTTGGTCATACACTTTATTGTGATATGTGGACCAATCAAATGGTCAAGGTTTTGCTGGACAATATGACCCCAAAGCCCCTGCTGGTAGATATCTGGCTGCAAATACGTCATCTTTCTCCACTGATTGCCATTAAAAATGAGTATTCTGACTTTATTTTCCTTTCTTTCTTATTTTTATTTATTTATGCAAGAAACATTTAAAACTCAATTAGTTCATTATATTACAGTAAATAGGCTCGTTTGAGATGCGGCTAGCTTCGCCTGAAATTTAGGCGAGAGTAGCCGGCTGCAGTGAGGGGAGTAGTGACATAAGCGCAGTCAAGACGGACCCCTTGTCCAAATACCCACACTTGTATGAGGTGTGAATTGTGCATCTATGAGGTGTTATTTGTGCCTTTTCTAAGGCTTAGCAGGAGAAGGAGAAGGAGCAGTCTACCCTTCCGTCGCCGTCAGTCCATGTAGATTTTTGAATGGGATTGAAAGGGACGGCAGACGACAGACCTGCGGCGAAGTCACGGTAGGAACTATACCTGACGGCGATGTGGCTACGGCGTATGTGAGAAATATATAAAAATTATGGCGAGTGATTCATGCCGGGGATAACCTACCGAAGTTGACAGTCGTGTACTTTTTACATGTGAGAAGGGGTACGTCGCAACACAGACACGTGACACCAATGCCGTAGAGAAGTACGTCGCAACACAGACACATGACACCAACGCCATAGAGAAGTAGGTTGCAACACAGACACGTGACACCAACGCCGTAGAGAAGTACGTCGCCACCACAATAAATGAATAGGTGCGTTCGACTTGAAGCACGGCTACAGACGGCGATCAACGAGAGTTGCAGTCGGGGGCGGAGTTGATAACGGAGCCGTCAAGCCGGACATTTCTGCTCCCGTTAGTGACGCTCGCGCAGTGTTTGCATACTCTATCACAGATGAAGTGAATTAAATGCAATATTTGTCAAATACACAGACGTTTCAGAAACGTTTTCATGAGCAACAGAAACACTTTTTATATACTGCTTAATACAGCGCCATCTGTTCAAGAATAAAGTTCAACGTAAATATATACTATTTAAATACTAATAAAGTGGGGGTATATATGCTTTCATGATAAACGTGACTCAATATAACATTGCGACTACAGTAAAAAAGTTTACTGTTCTAAAAACACAGATTTGTGGCTATTATTGGAATTGAAAAGGTTAGAATAAACCCGAAACACACGTGATAGTTGTCATGCGGTGAATCTGGCCAATCGTGAAA